CGTGCGTGTATGTCTATTGTATTATCGTTACATAAAGCAAGATTTTTCATTCATTAAATATCTAATCTGGAACGCTCTTTAAATTTTAAAGATAAAAATAAAGAAAAAAACAGAAGCAAAGAGAATTAGAAAAAGAGAAAAAAATATAAGAATATTATAATACTTGGACTGAACATATTCACTCACATGATTTCAGATTGAAAAGACAAAATGCAGGTCATTCTTCTCATTGTATTAAGCATGTGTCGTTTTATTTCAATATAACTGACCTATTCACTATACAATTTATCTTCCAATTAAAACAGATTTCTTTGCCACTAAGGCTTCTAATGCTGTATATGCACGTATGCTCGCTGATGGGATACTCTAAAATGGATCGAACAATATGTGATCCATCCAAGGGACTTACAGTTCTTTATATATACGAACCTTTCTCTCGCTTTATGAGAATACGTAACGTACAATTTCACAAGGACGCATGATCTATAATCATTTCACGAAAGATGCTATTCGTAAGGACGTCTTGCTCTCCAGATCAGGAGAATTGGAAAAAGGAAATTGGTACCAGTTTATGCTGAAAGAGGCGGTCGTCGTTTTTTAATTCCATTTTTTTTCTAAATAACGTAACTATGGAAATCGATAAGTTCTAAAGGAAAATTGGTATCTATAACTCGAATTATTTCCAGATACGTGTTACAACACAGACTAATCTATATTAGACATACTATCTATATATAATGATAGAATTTATTCACATTATTATTATGTATTCACAATTATTACATCGAGTATAAAAATATTATACTCTGTCCATCTGACAAGAATTACACGCAATTAAATAATACCTTCGGATTCATACAGTATTGCTCATGGCGTACGATTTTGTGCAACATTACAACTATATTTTCCCTCTGTTGCAAAACGCTCACATTTTTTTTGCACCGCCTCTTCCTGCTAAACAAAAAAGAAAAAAAAAAAAGAAAAAAAGAAAAAATACGGATATTGTATATGTAAAAACAAGATTTGAGGAGGGAGAAACAAGAATGAAAGAGACAGAGAAATAGAGAGAGACATATCGCGCTTCTATCAAATGACGTTTAACATTAATAGAAAGGATTATTAACGGCATAATTTTACAAAGTTACGTCAGTGAATTTTTCGAAGCTAAAGGACCCCGGACAGGGTTACCTATATCTTTTCTTGTATAAAGGGATGCGCCAGAGCGTGATTCACAGTGATTCTTTTCCCTGCATCCAACATCAATGTTCGTTCCAGCAAATCCTTCAGTTGTCCGACTTTGCGATTTTGTTCCGGTGGTAAAGAATTTCCACCGAGTTCTGCGCTGAGATCTCGAGTGGCTGGTAACGTCGACATTACAACGACTTTTTCCTGGAAAAACATACTAATCAGCAAATATTGCACGTATGGCAAATATTTATTTTCATAAATAAATATAAAGAACATTACGGTACAGCGTTGTCAACTGATACGTTGTATTTCTTCTGTTTCCACATTCCGCGCATAAAGTAACATTATTTACAGTGCTGCGTTGCGCGACTTAAGATTTAAGATTTTATCATAGCAACTTAAGATTTTATCATGGAAAATAATAAAATAGACTCACCCGTTCAGTAACTTTATCAACTTCGTGATATAGAAAATTGCAGTTGCTGTCAAAATGCTGATCCTTGAATGATCCTTTTCTAATTAGCTTGTTTGGCATTTTACCCTTTAGATCCATGAAGTATTTTAACATTTGATTATTCGTTTTCCCCGAAAACATTATTTTTCCCGTGTATAATTCATATATGGTACATCCCACAGACCACATATCAATACCAAAATCATATGGTATACCAAGAACTAGAAAATAACGATATTACTTTCGATTCTAGACATTCGATTCCAGATACAATTTCATTTTTTCAATATCAGCCCAAATTCAGCCCAAACTAAATTATAATACACATATATCATAAATTTTTTTTGGTTTTCAGTAAAATAATATATGTTATGATAATGTTCAATTAGCCAAGTTTTTTTATTGCAAAATATTTATAACTATACATATGCGTACATAGATGAGAGCGCGCACATACACATCTTACGATTCTCATTAAACTGCCTATTTCAGTTTAGCGCAAAATGAAGTCGAAGCTAATACTTGCGAAGTCGTTGTACGTAGTTTACTAAGATTGCCAATCAAGCATTGCGAGATATAAATCATTAATGTAACACGGTCAAAATATAAATAGAGATATCGATAGAATGTAACATAGTCGAAGATTAACAATGCTAATGTACATATCGTTAATTAAAAAGATGTTATA